CACAGCCCCCGCCCCCTTACTTCAGCCCCCCGCCTGTCCCCTGCTCGGGGAAGCCTCGCCCGCGCTCCCCCCGCCCCCGAAACCGCGAGCGGAAGAGCGGCGAGACCGCGGCGCCCGCCGCTTCCTTCCCGTTTCTAGGCCTGGCTGCGCCCCGGGACCACAACAGAGGAACCGGCCCTCCTCGCCCGGCGGAAGCCGCGCGCTCCCTTACCGACGCCTGGAGTCGGTCCGGCCCGGATCGTCCCTGGCTCCGCCGCGCCCGCCGCTCCCAGGATCCAGCTCCACTTCCGGTTCCGCGGGCGGGGGCGGGGCCGCATCCGGGTCCTGGCGAGGCTCCGCCCCCGCTCGGCACGCCCCTCCTGGCTTCGGGTCCGCAGCTGCGGGAGCTCTGGTAACTGCGGTCCGGCCCAAGCTTCCTGGCGACGCGGCTCCCTGCCGCCTCCCTGGGCCACGTGGCGCGGGCAGCGCCCACCGCCAGCGCAAGCGCGAGCTCCGCCTGGTGCGAGCCTGCAAAGCATGCCTTAAAATGAGGTGCTTATCTGTGCAGAGTAAATTTACAGCGCTCCCATCGTGTGCAGACAATAGAGGTGGTATTCCAGCACTGCCCTGGGTGAGAAAGGGAAAGTGGGGCAAGCATGGGATCAATGCAAGTGCCTTGAGCCCTGAGGACTCACACACAGGTTACTCCATCCTCCACGCATCCATGCGTCCATCCATCCATCCATCCCATCCATCCACCCACCCATCCATCCATCCATTCATCCATCCATCCAAATAAGGCCAGATATATGTCAGGGATATAGGCCAGAATAGGTCAGCAGAACAAAAATGGGCCTTTTCCTCAGGGCCCTTGCAGCCTAGAAGAAAACTCAGGCGTTAATCACATATATATTGGGTTGTCGGAAAAGTCATGACGTATTTTTTCTATGTTTTTTGTTGCAAAAATGTGTCATGACTTTTCCAACAACCCAATAATGAGGAAACAAGATAACTGCTATGAGGAAGTCTAAGATGTCATGAAATTATATTGAGGAGGTGGGACCTGAACTCCTCCTGGAGATCAGAGGTTTCTTTGAGCAATTAAATTAACATTTGGGCCAACATCTGAAGGCCAAATGGGAGTGAACATAGTAAGAAGAGAAGACTTTTCCAGGCAGGAAAGGTCTTGCCGCAGAAGAACTGAAGGAAGGTCCGTGTAACGGAAGTGTGGAGATGAAGCGGGACAGTGGGGTGCAACGGGCCAGGTCATGTAGAGGGTGGCAGGGCACAGCAAGGACTTCGGCTTTTCTTCATAAAGAAATGGGAAGTCCTTGGAGGAAGTTAAGTAGAGGAGAGAGATCATCAAGTGTGTATTGTAATAAGATTCTTCTTGCTGCTGAGCCGAGAATGGATGGGAACAGGGCCAAGTAGGGGGAGCCTAGCACAGCCAAGGCAGGCAAACTGTTGGTCGCAGGTACAATGGGGAGTAGACACAGGAGACATTTAAAAAGTTAAACTGTCACACTTAAGAATGATTGGGGGGCCGGCCGAGTGGCGCGATGGTTAAGAGCTGGCTTGGGACGCCAGAGGGCCCTGGTTCGGATCCCACATGAGGGCCAGTGACACTGCCCTCCACAGCTAAGATGCTGAACCAACAGCTCAACCTGGAGCTGGGCTGCCATGAGTCGCCGGCGACGGTGTAGGCTGCAGCCCCTGCTGCAGTGGGTTGCCACAGGCTACCGTATATAGCCAGCAGCCAGCGTGAGCGGCCAGCAGCCGCAGTGAGTGGCCGTCCAGAAGCCGGCAACTGATCTGCGTCGACCGGGAAGAGCGCAATGAT